ACGTTTTGATTTACCCAAGTATTTCAATTCATTAAAATTGATTACTAAATAATAGATTGTTCTAACTGAGATTAATTATAAAGAAACAGAAAATGCCAGAGATGGATTCAAATTTTTTTTAAGACCTAAATTTTAAGCAGTGTATATAATGACTCTCCTCAGAACCGAATTTGCCCATCTTTGAACAATAGAAAACGATTTTCTTATAAATGCATAAAAATAATTATCTAGGAATCTCGTTATAAGATAATCATTTTATAAATAAGCACTTATTTAGATTAGTAACTAATTTAGATTAGTAACTAATTTAATAAATTACAACTTGTACCCTAACTTAACAGTTTTAACAAAAATCAATTTAAGATTAAGAGGGAAGAACGGTTTATGTCCAGGAGAGCTGATTCTGAGAAAAAATGAATTTCAAAATGGACAAGAACAATTTTTCCACAACGCAGTCTAACTTAACTGAGTAATAACTCTCGGAGAGAGACTAGTTTCCTCGTTATTAATTTGTCAACACTCACAAATCCTCAAAATGTGCCGATCCAATCGTCATTTTTGTGAAAAATGGACATGAACTGTTCTCCCCCTCTCTTGATCCCCAATTGTTAAGAAGATTTCAGTGGCAGAATTAAGCATTTTATATCCTAAATCATGTGTATCACTTTCTACTTATAGAAACTTATTAAAGAAGTGGATTTAGTATCACTTTCTTTTTTCAATTTTGTCGGACTCTTTTATAGACTCTTTTCATAGGAAGCTATTAATGTATGTAATCCAATATTTTAATGAATAATTACTTTATTTAGTATATCTGTGAAAATATGTATGGGAAAAATTTTAAATTACATCCTAAAAATAACATATTTTTTCATGATCTATTAAACAAAAATAATACATAAGTACATAATTTTATATGGTACTTTTTTCTTTCAAAACTGCAAATTTATAATTCTGGGAATTTTTGAAATTGCAAGAGAAACAATCAAAGACATATGCATTTCTGCTAGCTTTTTTATCGTTTCATCCTCTATTAAAATGAAAAAAACTGTTTTAATGCATTTAGGGGCCGTTCAAAAAGTACGTACATCCCGAAGGGGGGGAGGGGATTTGCTATTATGTACGGTTTTGTACGATGGGGAGGGGGGGAGGTATTATACAAAGTACGTACTTTATAAACATACACCAAATTTAAATTTGACTTTATCCTACACCCTCCTTAAGTAAATATTTAATTTTATTTAAAACATAATTATTTTAATTTTTATGAAAAAGGGGGTAGACTAATAAAATGTACGTACTCTAAGGGGGGGAGTAAGACCTTATGTACGGTAATGTACGAAGGGGGGGGAGGGGCTCAAAATTTCGCCATTTTTGTGTACGTACTTTTTGAACGGCCCCTTACTTAAGATAGCTATTTTTGAACAAAACTTTAAACCGAAAAATATTGCAATCTTTAGAAAGAAAATAACTTGACTAATTAAATGATTTTTTTTTACTTCTAAACAAATTCAAATTTTTAAAGCCCATATAATTTTTCCAAATTTTTACCATAACTGTTAAACTTGATTTAATTATATAGACAAATGTATGTAGAATCAGATCTTGCTGCGTATTGTACTTAAATTAATTGCCGGGACATTACGAATAACTGTAAATTCCATCATTATTTACTATACTTTGTACTGATAAAATATTAAGAAAAGTATTGTTATTTTGTACTGGTATGATATAAGTTAAAAGTAATTTTAAAACTAAATGCTTTACAAGGTGTTACGCTTTCGAAATTTATAGGTTAGTTAAGGATAGTGTTAGGTTACTTAAGTTTTCGAAATCTGAGTAGGATATTGCACTTTTATAATTATAATTTTGAAATAAATAATTATGTGCAAATCTTTTACAAAGACAATAATAAGTTTGGTTTTTTATTTACTTTTTTAAAAATTTATCTCAAGTAAGCAACTTAAAATGTGTTCCACATGCTCAAATTGCTCATGCACTAGTATGCTCATGCACTAGCTTATAATCACAATCTAGTAAATTAGTCCAGTTTTATAAACAAAGCATCTGGGTAACATGTATAATATTCGAATCATGTAACATGTATAATATTCGAACATGTATAATATTTGTAATATGTATAATATTCGAAGGTTTAACAAGCATATATATTCGAAAATAATAAAGTTTAGTGTCTGATCTTCAGTTTTGGAGAGTAGGCCGTGTTTAAAGATTATCGAATCAGATGATCTTTCAAAGGAGCTGAGATTCAGGTCCACCAAAGCCCAATTCATTCAAAGACATTAAATGTCATTGGAAGAACTAGTAATACTTTATTTTTTAATGCTTTTATACTATTATTATATAATTAACATATGTTACTATAATTGTAATATGTCTTATACGTTTCAAATTTATAAAATTGTATCTGCAATTGCAATATTCATCAGTTTGTCATTTAAAATTGCAGTGTGTTCTGCAGTGATAATTTAGAAATGCAAAACTATGCTTTGTTCGTTCAAGCTCTGAAGACTCCTTTGCTCGTCTTTAATAAGAGAATTCCTAACTGCACCATTTTCAATGCTATGCCTTAAATCAGTGTTTTTTCAAGTTCTATAGATATGAAAGAGGGAGAAATTCCAAAAGTGAATAACATTTTAAAATATTCGAAAACGAAAGTTTCTTGACTGATGATGTTGCTTTCTGCTCTGATTTACCTCCTACGGCAAGTTTCTCTATTGTCCCCATTATTTTGCTTTCAATTATTTTTCCTTCCTTCGATTCAGTTTCTGCTTTTTGTGCTCTGTTTTGTTCTGATAATTCATATGGTTCCGACGATGAGCACTGTGTTAGAGATCTGGAAACCGTTCACCTTTCTTTCATTTCCACTATGAAGCAAAAGAAGGACAACCTTTTAAGCATATTTTTGGTTTCAGGTTTTTGGGAATTTTCCTTTCTGAGTGTCTTGTTAATAGAATTACATAACGAGTTAATTCATTTTAATTTGTGGTCTTATAAGATAATATCCCTTTGAGCGTTGACCAAAAAAATCAATAAATTAAATTGAATAAGAAAGGTATGAATGATTTATTTATTTTTTTCCCCAATTTATTTTAATTTTTTACATCGCGTTTCCTTTTCTTTTATTGCCTCGATTTAGCAAAAAAGTTTTTTTTTCCTTTCCGATTTCACTTTGGTTTTTTTCCTTGAAATTTATAGTTTTAAAATGCTTTGCTGATCGTCCTTTAAACAATAACAAATTAATTCATTGATAACTTTCGCCATATAAGGTAACGCTCTAGTGCGAAGGCAAGAAATAAAAGGTCCCAACAAATAGCTTTTTTTTCTTTTTCGCAATTTCATTTCGACTCTTAAAAACAGGCTTATCAAACAATGATGGAGACTCATCATTTGAAGCAGAAAGCACGTTCCATGCTAGGTAAAATATAATAAATCTTGATTGAGTAAGGACAATGATATTTTCAAGTAACCGAAGTAGGCACTTAAACGATTTCTGGAACTGAGAAAGTTCTACTCATTGAAATGAATCATCATTTATTTGTTTCCTTTTCTGGTCATTCTCATTTACGATAAGTACACAATGTGTCACCATATAAGTTGTCAAAATGGGTGATTTTTGCGTTACGTTTTCTAATAAATACTTATTTGTAAAGACCTGATGCGATTTATTTATTTTCAATTACAGGTTTTATAGCTTTTTTCAATCATTTTTAATTAATTAGATTAAGTCGGTAATATTGCTAATTATTTACATTAATAAATACAAATTGGATGTACAGTGCGCAAAATAAAAAAACGGACCATTTTGAATAATTTTTGATCTAGTGATCGGATGTTCACGTTCAAGGTCTTAATCGTGCAAGGGGGGGATTTCAAGTAAGCTCCCTAATTTGTGCGAGCGAAAGTTGCGAAATCAGACACGAAAACCAACTCTCTCTGAATAAACATGCCTTTTTTCGACAGATTTAGATTTCAGATGTAGGCAATTGTTTCAAACTGATCCAAATAGTTAGGTGAGGAGAGCGACTAAAAATTTGAACCTCTTACTTTTTGTGCATTCAAAACTATATATGGAAAACTTTATCAGAGAATTGAAACATTTTTGCACCCAATTATAAAATTCGCTTATTCAAGGATAATTTCATGCAAAAAGTAACTTTATCTAAAATTTATTATTTTTATTATTTTATTTAACAATTGTCGAAAAACTTTTGAACAGTAAGCTAGAAGTTTTTTCGCATCATTTTAAAAAATATGATTTCGCACGGAAAAATACAAACTTTGAGCCAAATCGGTCAAATAATTTCAGAGAAAAACAATTTAAAAATACGAATTTTTCAAAATTCTTACCATTTGACAAATTTTGATCACGTTTTATACTTTGCAATTTGAAATTCTTTTAAATTAAATACCCAAAAAATTAGTAAAAAATTGTATGCCTAGGAATCTAAAACTTCTGTACTATTATTAGCTCAAAAGTCATTAATGGTGGCCCGTTTTTTATTTTGCTCCCTGTACATGCATGCAAATACACATCAGACATAATACTAATGGACATCACAATAATTGTCATGTTCTAATCTTGATTTTATTAAGTAGGAACCTTACCCCTGATTTTATTTTTCTGTAACCTTATTTACAGACAAATTTTCTTTCAAATCTTCAACTTTTTATTTATAATCATGTCTAAAATGCATTTTTAACGATAATAATATATTGCTGTGATAATAATAAAGTATTTAGGGCAATATACTTGGATAAAACTGTGTAAAATTTTAATCTGTATCACAAATAAAATGTTATAAAAAGTATGCAAAATGCTTTAAAATTAAACACACATATATAAAAAGTAACAACCTTAACCCAAAGCAAATCAATGCATAAGGAAGTGATATATTTTTGAGAGATTAAATTTATTTCCGAATCATAAATAGGACTTTTTGCTCCATTTGAATGAGTAAAAAAATCATATCACTTACTTTTTGACTGGTATTCTTCCATCTCTGTCTGTCAAAAGTTGTACTTTAGTGTGAGCTTTTTCAAGAAATACAGTCGCTGGGGAGTTAATTGCCACAAGATTGTAGGCCATTTTTAGCAAATTTTCAGTCCAAAGCTATAAAGGGAAAAAATTATTCAAAAATAAAATTACTTTAAATACTTTTAAAGCAATTAGCAAACTCTGAGCCGTGAGTGCTCAAGAGATAGAGCGCCTGCCTTCCAATGTGGTGAACCGGATCCGAATCCGAGCGATGGCTGGATCCGGCTTGCACCGAACACTGTGCTGGCGTACAATATGGCTAGAGATCATCGGAAGGTGTCCCCTTTGCCCATGGCTAACCATGGGAGGTTCCATGGTTTCTATCTCCATGTAAAGCAAATGCTGGTTAGTTAGATTAAAAAATCCTTCACGAAGGCAAAAGTCTCCTAATTCTTGATCAAGAAGTTCCCTTGTCTTCTGGGTTGAGTTCAAAACTCAAATGCTTTTTATTTGGTTCAAACTTGCACGGCTACGGAGCTGAACATTAATCGTAAATCCAAAAATTGGGTCGGCTGTTCAACGGCAGATATATATAATTGTTACTTGCTCAAATATGTTTTTTTCGATAATTTATTTTTTACTAAAATAAGAAATTTGATCAAAAATATTTATTTCGAAAAATGATAAAAAGAATACTCTTAAATATCTCAATGCCATAATCTAACTTATTTTGATTTAAAGCGAAAATGAATGAAACAGAAGTTTACCTATAAACGACTTATGAAAAGGAAAATATCAATCCAAATTCAATTGTCAAATAAAACTGTGATAAAATTTTAAAATGATAAAAAGTAAACTCTTACAACAAACAAAAAACAAATTTTGAAACTAATAAATGAAATTTGTTGATGGAAAAAAAATTTAAATGTTTAACCATCCCGAACAATATAGACTCTCATTTATAATTTATTCTCTTGAAAAAATGTTGACAATGTGACAGATAAAAAAGATTCAAAACGTTAAATTTTCTTTTAAAATAAACAAAGATTTATGCATTCAAAAAATTTTCAAAAGCGAAAAACAATAATAACAGGTTTGAATTTTCAAAATTCTGTTGTATTTTATTTGCCATTCATCTCTTTTTTTAACATATTCTCTAAGTCTGAAACTTGGAAACTACTTTTTATTTGAGGGTATAAACTAAATTTTGATTCGATAGGTTTCGTAAGAAGATATGCGTTTTAAATATATTCATAAATATTATAATGACTTACAACCTTGACACATTTTAACTATACACACTTATATAATTACATGAACATTTTATAAATAAGTATTGATAAAAGTTAGAAGTAAGAATAGTTAAAAAATATAAATGTATTATTTTTTGAAATAATATAATGTTAGAAATTTGTTATACGTTTATGGTGGTTTCATAAGATATTGAGCTTAAGCTGAAAAAGAAACAATTGACATTCTTTATGCAAAATATTAAAAAAAAAACAGACATAAACTTTTTTTTTTCTGTTTTTCTAATACTCTCTTATAGCATTATATTACTCTATCACATTCTTACTCTTAATATATAATATTACATTCTTACTCTTAACATTTACATTGCACGTAGTATAATTTTGGAAAAATTCATAAAAATGCAGACTTAAACATTTTTTCTTCTTTTCAACTACTGATAGAAAATTTTATTCCATGTCATGTTTTTCCTTCACAATCCAAAAAATATTAGCTTAAACTTTTTGTTTCATTTTCTATCATTCGTAAAATTCTTTTCACATACACTGTAGAGAATTAAAGTTAAAATTACTGCATAAAGTACCGACACTTAGTGTATGGAACTTTTTACCGTAAAATGAATTTTTTGATCAGAAAATTTCATGGAACAAAAAGTCTAAAACACCCTAATTTTAAACTTAATAATTACCGTAAAATCTCTGAATCACTCTAATAAAACAAATAATATTGTAAAAAGTACAATATAAAATTTTACGGTAAAAATAAATTCTGCTGCAAAATAGATTTTACGGATGATGCAAAATTAAACTGTAATTTGATCCGGAATTTTTTACAGTGTAGTATACCATTTCTAAGAATATTTTTACTAAATTCATAACATGAATACTTAGCAAATTTTGATAAATTGTTTACTATTAAAGATTTTATTGTCAAATTACTGAATTCATGTTTATTATTACTACACTATTATTTTGATCTGAATATATTCAAATCAAAATAATGATCTAATATCTGCAAAATATCTTTGATAACTGCAAATTATTGACGTTTATTTTCAAAATTATGAACTGTTATATAAAACGAATAATTAAATTTGAGTTTATATTATCAAAAAAACTACAACTAAAAATTTTTCTACAGTAAAAATAAAAGACGTTGCTAATAAAATTAATTTTAAACAAAAGCAATCGCTTTTCGCAATTAATAGAAATATTGCTTTAATCAGAACAATTAAACACATTATTGTTTTTATCTGAAGTTATAAATGAAGCGATTTAATTAATTACTTACTTGTGCAACTTCTTTACAATTGCAACTGAAATGAATATAGTTTATATTAACTAATTCTGGAGCATATGCTACTGTAACTTGTTTATCTTCCAGAGGAGTATCTGGAGTACCCATTGTTATAGAATCTCTCAGTTTACCATCCTGAAAGAGACATACAAAAATAAACATAAATAAACACTATACACTGAAATTTTAACATACAGCAAGTTTATCACAAATAAGTACTTATGCATTTTATGTATATGTGTTATGCATCGTAAAAGAAACATTTATGTATCTCATTTATTTTTTATGTGCATTAAAAGATTCTCAGCTCTACTATATGGCTATATATTTCATGAAATATTAGCTACAATAACAATTGGCTGAAGATGGGGATGGTAAGCCGTTGGTCACACCTTATTCACTAACTTTTTTGGAACTGTTTTCAAGAGTTAGAAGAGCTGAAAATGCTTCTTGGACCATTCCACCTTTTCACCTAATTTACCAGGGAAAGTGCTCTTGGACTACTTTATCACTCAAATTTTGTACTATTGGATGTACTGATGGACCAGACGGCCATCACCAGGCTTATCAGTGGACATTTGAGATCTCTGTCTTACTCCGATGGAACAAAGGTTTCTCATACCTGTGTAAAAAGTGTGCTGACCATTAGGCTACCCTTCACCATATACTAGATTGTCTGGGGCTTTCCGGGCAAGATCTTTTCACAAATCCAATTCTAGTGTTGGACTTTCTAAGAGTGACAGATTTCATAGAACTGATTTAGCGTTGCTAAACAACGGAGATATGTAACAAAAAGAATGAAATATTTATATACAGAGAACAAAATTTAAAAAAAATCACGCTCTATAGCTTTTAATCTAATTATTGGATCTTCACGTTCTAGGACTCAATATAAAAGGTTCGAGGGGTTGACCTCTGATATGCTAATTAATTAATACCATACTTAAGGAAGATATCACAATCAGGCACAAAAGCATACTTCCTACGTAAAAACATACTTTTTTCGGCGGATTTGGATGTTTGATTGCCAAAATGTAGGGGGTAACCGGAATCTCGAAAATATGGTCTCAAAAGTTTGGTTAGGAGAGCTGCTTTAATGGAGCTCTTAATATTAATTTTATATTTTTTTAGTCTTGGAGTTCTTAATGTTAGTTTTATTTTTGTGTCTTATACTATATCTTCAGAGATTTTTAAGTGAATTAGAAAAATTTGCTCATAAATATAAAATTCACTTATCCAATGATTTTTTTACATCACTTTGAAAACTGCAATTTTAAATGTCGAAATGTAAAATGTGCGAGAAATCGGTCGAATAGTTTCAGAGAAACCGTATTTTAAAAATACGACGTAAGAAACGTTTATACGTCTTTTGTATGTCTGTTTGTATCATTATGTATGTTTATGTTTGTCTTGTCTGTACCACTACGCAATCCATTACAGATGCTGTTTAGGTCAAGTATGAAATATGCAGAAGATTAGAAACTGTACCTAGTCATTATATAGTATGCCTATGGGTTTTTCATTATTCATTCCACAGAATGCCAAATCAAACGCTTCATATTTTGACGATTTATCGTTAGGTATTCTTTAGATAAATGTCCTATATTATGGTCATTCCAGACAATAAGTGGAATATTCATAATTTTATTCCTTTATGTTGACATTATGATAAAGTTTTATACAATGAGTAGATATTTAATAAAATTCCGAATTATGTTAATGGTCATATATAGGAGGAAAACACTTTTCCTCTATTCACTAACTATTCATTTTTCATTTAAATTTGTCTCCTTAAATCAACATTAATAAATATATTAATGAAGCTCTTTCAGACAACAAAATGTCCTTTAATCATACATATTTTGTTTAAGAATATTTTCGATATAATTTATATTTATGATTATTATTCTGAAAGTTTTATTTGTAAAAATCATTTCATAACTTCAAAATTCAAGCAATCTAGTTCAGAATACATTACTTACAAAAAAAATTATTATCTGAAACAAAGCTAAAAATGAAAATAGATGCATTTATTTTCGGTTATTACGTTTCTAAATACTTTTACAACTGTTATCGCTTAATATTTACACGAAATAAAAGTATTTTACTACAAAATATTGTACACTTAATTGTTCATATTTAGATGAAATCAAATCTATAAGGGGAAAAATTATATTTTAGTTTAGAATTTTTCACCAAAATTTGATAGTTTGGTAAGCGTAATATTTTTTTAAAAGCAAAATAAATTATATTTATGATGTTAAACTTGCATTTCAACGATGATCATAATTCAATGTATAATTAAATTTATAAATGGAAGTAAATGAGATGACAAACTATGGAAAAGGAAAAGTTTGTAAATTTGATGTCTGTCTGCCCACGAATATTATAGTAAATATAAAAAGAGTCGAATCATGCCAAAAAGAATTCAATGAATTAATTATTTATTGAATTCTTTTATGTAAAACTCAATGATATAAACAGGCATCGGTTTCAAAGCACAAAAGAGAGAAAGATATTGAAGCAATAGTGTAATATGAGTTGTAATTGAATAATGTAGCTAAATAAAAAATTTATTTTCTCATAATACTGCGTTAATCCGGTAACTAAATTCTGTACTAAGAAAAAACGTATGATCAAAACTGTCAGAATATGGTACAAATTGCAGTGTTTGGGGTTCTAAGAAAAAGGTCGGTAATTTTTGCCGAAGCGCTTTGGTAATGATTTTGAGAAAAATAACAGTGATATATGGTTTTAAAATGCGTGATAAAATTTGGCAAACATTAAATTTCGTATTTTTACCATGATACCTTAGAACATAGTTAGACTTAGAACATTCAGTTAAATTTAATTTTCAGTTCTGCATTTCTTACTAAATTTGCCATTATAAAAACATTTCCAAACTCAAACAAACAAAACTCAGCATTTCCGTTAAACTGTTACCTTATAAATTATAAAAATACCAAATGAATGATTTAAATACCACATATTTTAGTTTTATTAACGAGAAATATGAGTTTCTTTACCAGAAATGCCAGTACTACATGATACATTAATTTTACAAAAAATTTGTGTATCGACGTACCGAGTGTTGTACTGACGATATTAATTGAACACTAGAGGGGGGGGGCAGACAATTTCAAGGTTCGAGAGCATGCATTCGATTGAAATCATAAAATTAAAAAAGTTACACGAATGTCATAAGCATTCTTTTGCATCCCTTAAAAATTTACAAACAAAATTTGCAATTTTTCATGATAAGAGAAAATGAAATTAGAAAATCGGATTGGACAAGAACCATTTTTTCTTCAAAAAATTATTTTCCAATTAATACTTCTTCACTAGTATTCTTGTCATCATCTTCACTATACTTTACTCAGTTCTTCTCGTCTATGCATGGATAGAAACAGTTTTCCTTAGCACTGGCCAGCTTCAATAATAACTCACGGGGAAAACCGATTTCTCACGTTTTGGATTAGTGAAAAACTTAGTTATCCGCAAAAGAGTCAAGATCGTGATCCAATCGACAATTTTGTAAAAAAAAGAGACAGAAACAGTTCTTTTTACCTGGTCTTCAATTATCCTCGCATCATACAAGCATAATATTTTTATTTTATTTTATAGTAATCGCTGAGCAATCGACCAATTCTTTTGGATTTAAGACTTTTAAAGTTAAACTCCGTATCCTTGTAATTTTGAACCCCTTCCAGAAGGCAAGGGAACTCCTGGATCAAGTATTGAGAGAAATTTGCCTTCTTGGAGGACTTTTTGATGGAACTAAAAAGCATTTACGTTACATGGAGAGGAAAACCACGAAAATCTCCCACGGTTATCCTAACAGCAATAGGACTCTAACCATGATCCGTCTACCACTGAAGATATTTTACATCAGCATTGTGGTTCGTGCAAGCTGGATGCGGAATTTTTATTTTATTTTATTTTATGACCGCCGTTGAACAGTCGACCCAATTTTTGGGTTTACGACTACAAATGNCACGAATGCCGCAAACGGAAAATTTGTCACCATAGCAAAAAAAAATTTATTACTAATAAAAAAATTTTAAAAAATTCGCCGCTTCAACAAAAGTTTCTCTTTTTCGAATTCCTTAAAAAACAAGAAAAAGAATAATTTCTACGCTTTTTCCTACCGATGCAAAAGCGATTTAAAATTACCTTCACTAGGTTTAAAATCGCACATCGCAATTCTTAGTTATGCGATTTAAGATCGCTCATCGCGTTTCATATTTTCACGATTTTATGTCAAATATCGTGTTTTATATTCACGCGATTTTAAAATGATGCAGCGAAATTCGTGTATACGCGATTTCTATATTACTGTTCTATAAAAATGAAGTATTTAAAAAAAAAATTTTTTTTTCATGATTTTTCAAACAAATTTTACCAAAATAAGATGGCAACGAAAGGGTTGAAACTAGTTATAAGAGTTAATAAATGCTAGTTGAAAGTTTTTTAATTGGGAATTTGTGTTTACAGAAAGTTTTACATTTTATCTAAGTCTGCTTCGTATATTGAGCTATTGTAGTGTTAAATTTTTTCTGGATCATAATGTATAGTTTCGAATGAAATATAGACAAAAATATTATATACAAAGTACTTCGTTATCTTGACCTTTGAATACGCTTTTTTTAAAAATTAAAGTTAGGGGAATTATTTTCGAAAATTTATATTTAAGTGAAGAGATTTTTTCAAATACTTATGAATCTTAATCTAATTTGATAAGAAAAAAGAGAAGATAGAAATACTAAAAAAGCAGCATATTTGTTGAATGGAGCTGAAATGTGCTTAGCTTTTCAGCTTCATATTCGAATAAACTGGATGTTGATAATTTTAATCCTTCCTTTATTCTGATGAAGCTCAATTTTGATTTGCAAATTGTTTTGTTTGTTAGACTTTGATAAATTTTTTTACTCAAATATTAATTTATGATCCTTAATTTGCTCCAAATTTTTAACAGAAATAATATAGATTATGACGATTTCTTTTCAACCAATAAATGAGCAAATAACAACAATGCTGAAACTATTTCTTTTTTAAATCAAACAGTTTTCTTTTTGAAGCTTTTTACTTCTTTAGTTCAAACAATCGGATGAGTTTTCAGCACAACTTTCTTTCCA